CATCTGCCCCTATTGTATCCCTTTAGGCTGGGTTCACACCTATAAAACAAAGAGACAAACAGCGCCTGCTCCTAGTGTATTAATGTTTAATGGATAGAGCAATAAAAAAATGACATACAAACTACACACATAGAGGTAAAATGGAATAAGCAATAGGATGCAAAGCAGGTCCCAGAGAAGAGCGGCTAGCTGACGCGTTTCAGGGAAGCTTTCCCCCTTGCTCAGGGCAGCCTTCTCCCTAAAAGTTTTGAAGTTGAAGAAACCCTTTATGCCGAGTACTGTGGTGTACATAGTTTCTTCTGGAGATTTGGGTTCACACCTAGGTGATAGCGTTTTTTATGCACAGAAATCAAATTGCGTGTTTTTGTGGGCAGATTCTAGCTCATTGATTATGATGCGCAAACACACATAAACCGCGCAAAAACACAGCAAAAGTTGTCTAGCGTTACCTATAGATGAGCGGTAATATGCCCAAAAAAAGCTCATGTACTTTTTCCCGCGACAGGCGTTTTGCTTATGTGAACAGGGCCATAGAAATTAAGGGGATTTTCTTGTGGGCATATTCTTTGAGCGTTTTTTTAGAGCAGAAAAAGCGCTGCATAACGCTCGGTGTGAACCAGGCCTTTAGGTCCCTGCAAATACAGAAACATTTGATCTGCCAGAAAAGCTCTCCTCATATACTAACTTCTTGCTGTGGGCTGGCAACACACAGCATTTTTTCAACTTGGTGGCGTCGGCCCTGATCAGGTACCTTCTGCTAAACTACAGAAACCATCCCACAGTCCTCATCGCTACAACAAAACGGACTAATCGTTCTCTAGTCCAAGATAAGAATAAGAGTTTCGGACATAATTAACAGGTATTTTTCCACTAAGTGAAGAAAACACTTTTACTTAGGGATGCACCGATGCTAGTATCGGTATCGGTGCCGAGTATTTGGGCAAGTACTCGTACTCTCCCAAATGCTCCCATGCCTTGCCCGATATTTCCGGTATCACGAAGCTGGGCAGTCAGTCATTACACGCTGCCCGGCTTCCCGATTGGCCAGGAAGCCAGCTTCCTGCTCCCTTGTCACTTGTGACGAGGGAGCATGGAGCAGGTTTTGCGGCCAATCAGGAAGCCGGGCAGTGTGTAATGACTCGCTGCCCGGCTCTCTGATTGGTCAGAAAGCTGGCCAATCGGGAACCTGGGCGCCGTGTAATGATGTGGCCCCAGGGTTTTCGATTGGCCGAGAAGCCAGCTTCATGCTTCCTGGTCACCTCATGATGAGGGAGCATGGAGCCGGCTTCCCGACCAATCAAGAAGCCGAGCGCAGGGTCATTACATAGCGCCCGGCTTCCTTATTGGCCAGAAAGCCGGCTCCATGCTTGGGGACGGCTTCCCTGCTAATAGGGAAGCCGGGTGGCTAGTCTTTACACGCCACCTGGCTTCCTTAATAAAAACAAACTCATGTTCATATGGCTTCCTTAATAAGACTTCCGGTATCAGTATTGGCGCGTACCGAAAAACAAATATCGGTACTCGATACCGAAATACCGGTATTGGTGCATTCCTCCTTTTAATTATATATTTAACAAATCAAAAGGGAGCAAATAAGAAAAGTTCATTGTTAGGGTTTACATACACTGTTATATATTAACCAGTTGACATTTTTCAGTATTCAGCACTGCGGTACTTTGACTGACGTTTATTCCGTCATGCAGCGCTGTACTGAAATGAACTTTATACCCTTTTTTGGGGACAGATAGAGCTTTATTTTGGTGGTATTTATTCACCACTGGGGGTTTTATTTTTTTACTATATTAAGGAAAAATTACCGAAATTTAAAAATAAAAAAACAGTTTCCCCTATATTTAATGATAAAACATTTATTATTACCCAATTTTTTGGTAAAATATAAAAGACGGGGTCACGTCGGGTAAAAAGACACTAAACATAAGACAGGATCACAATATGGCCACCAACTCAAGGAGAGAAGCATGAAAAACCCAACATCAACAAAGGCCCTTACCAGGTGCATTCTCCAACACCGAGAAAACATCTCCTTTGGCGCTAGTGAATAGGACTCCAGGTTTGCCGCCACACTGTTGGCACAGGACAGGTGTGTCACTGGGCCATTCAGAACGCACGGGCGTCTGTGCTTCCGCCTTGTCTTCTTTCTCGCCTTCTGGAGCAGACTCCATCTTTTCTTCCTCTGCAATGGCCACATTATCAAGTGTCTTCTTGAGATTCTCCTGCAGTTTCTTGATATCATCCAGAAATTTCTTTTCTCTTGTGAATTTTTCTGGCTCAGCAATGGGTGATGTTGGAGATCCAGTCAGAAGCTGCTCCACGGTCATGTTTTTCAGACTCTCAAGAATCTTAATAGCCTCCTTAAGTTCTTTAAAGCTCTTGACAATCACTTCATTTTCATTCACTTTGGCCACAACAGCTGCAGTAGCACCCGGCTCCGTTTCTTCTACTTCTGCTTGTGATGTGGTCTCTGATGCAGCAGTTTGGTTTTGGGCTTGCTCCATTGCCTCTGCCCCTAGGCGTGTGTTTTCATCCTCCGTCAAACCATTGTCCGTCTCCCAGCTGTCACTGTCATCTTCCCATTCATCAGAGGAGGCACCACTGGAGCTGCTATCCACAGAGTCATAGAGGGATTCCTCCAGCTCTGACTCCACATTATACAAATGCTGAAGAGGAACAGAAAACTGTCAGAAAGGAATTTTATCGAAAGCCAAATCGTTCTCATCTTTGATTTGGAAGGGTTAGAGCCACTCTCAGGTTTTCCCTGCCATCTGTGTCTTATATGTGGAGATCCCCCCTCTCTATTTGTCCTACTTACCATGGTAAATAGTAAGGGGGGACTTTATCAAAAGTGGAGCACGCAGAATATGGAACATGTGCCCATAGTAGCCAATCAGCTTCTCTTTTACCTTTTACTTTTACGTTTGTTCAGTTAAGCTTTGAAATTAAAAGATAGAAGCTCATTGGTTGCATGCATTACAGAGATGTATTGAATATATTTAATTTGTATTTAACCCAGACATACTACACTAAGAATGTGACTACTGATTTCCTGCATTCATTTCAGCCACCTCAGGTACATAAGGTGAGGGTCAATAAATAGAAACATGTTGCAGCATTGTTGTGGATGACTTCTGCCTCTAAACCGGCATCGTAAGACAAGTTAAACATTATTAACCATCATTACAATAGCATTTATAACCGACACCCACTTGGCCAACCTAGAGCAATGCAGGTTACACTAAACTGACAACTTCACTTTCTCTAGAATACATCATTCTAACTGGACAGAGCGATCCTTGCACAAACATTTAGCAGAGCACACAAGCTTTAAGGAAATTGCTATTTGCATTGCTAGCAGTAACATACAACATCCTTACCTGTGGAAGCACAATGGACCTAGAGTTGTCAGCCCAAATAACTTCAACCTTGCTATTGACATCTACGCGAGCTACTTGTCCCACTGAGGGCTGGAAGACAGCAGCAAAAGAGAAGAGAAACATTACAGAGAAAAACGTTTGTGTAAATTCTATTATTTCATTATATGTTTTTATTACATGTACAAGTTTTAAAATCTGATTTTTCAGTTTGTTTTTTAAGTTTTGGATAGAGTAGAAGTTCAGGTTTTTTTTTTTTTCTGTGTGCGTCCTGTTAAAGCAGGACTCCAGGCAGAGAGTTTTGGGTCATATCTGTTTGGGAAAAAAAGCTACCTCTGCTTAGGTTTATGCCACATCTGGATCACTCCTGTTTAGTATAAAACTCTTTCTTTCACTTGTGCCAGATAGTGCAGTTTTGCTGTAGTTATGGCCGGCTGCGGCTCTCATACAGGGAAGCAGTAGTGAAGTTAATCCGCCTCCTTCTTCATTCATAGAACACTTTGTATTCTGTGAATGGTTCAGCTTTAAAGAGATTTCTCTTCACTTCCGGTCCCAGAGACGCAACAGGAAATTTCTACAAAGCGAGGGGCATTCCCCTTTTAGATAGTTGGCACTGGAACAACCGGTTGTTCAAAGTGTAAGATTTACCCTCATTATTTGCTCTGGTGACATCTGTGGAACTTTGGATTTTCCATCACAATGTCTGCAATAAATACCTGGCAGGAACTCTAATCCTTACCTACCCTTTCCAAAAATAATAATAAAAAAAAGGTTTGGCATACACTTCAGAACCTTGTTAATGCTACTGCAAGCATACCATCCATGAGACAGAGCCAAGGCCACTTGAGAAATGTTGGGTTTTATTTATTTTCATGGGTGCAGTATTTATCAACTACAGAGACAGTAGTCACTCTAATATCCTTGGAACCGCTTTAAGGTCCTGGGTTTCTCTCCCTACAGCCATCGGTGCCAACAACCTCTGGGTCCCATCGCTTTCCCACACTCTTTACATATGAAAACAGTGAAGCTGCACACCTCCGATCACTTGCGTACAAAAACCATTCTGTTGGCAGAGACAGAGACACTACACCTGCGGCGTCCTCCCCTGTGTACGCAAGGCATCAGTGATGTCACTACTTTCATACGGGTACAAGGACAGTGGTGTTTTCAGGTGGCGGTATTGTAAGCAGCCGTCAGGGTGTGTGCATGACCATGCAAAAATGTCAGATGATATTGATACTTAAATTGGAAAGAAGTGTAAACCCCGATTCCCCTGCAAGAAAAAAATAAATTGCATTCCTGACCTCTAAAAAGGGGTCTTTGCGCTTAGAAAACATTGTACTTTATATGCTGAAGTGAAACTCCAGCCATAAGCTTCTGTCTTATTGCAGTCTGTGTCACCATAGGAGAAACTATCCTTTCTTGGATGAATGATACACAATTTCTCAGATGTTTCAATTAAAGGGGGAAGCCTAATAGGCAAAAAATAGGATTTTTGTACTCACCGTAAAATCATTTTCTCTCCGTTCATTGAAGGATACAGGGCAACAGATCGTAGATCCTGAATGGTAGGCCTACCATTCAGGATCTACGATCTGTTGCCCTGTGTCCTTCAATGAACGGGAGAGAAACTACACCTTCGCTGTCTCTTTAGCCAACCCTTAGTGCTCTTGGAATCATTTTGCATGAAATGTTTATGCAAAAACAAGAATGTGTACAAAATTTAAAAAAAGGCTTTTGGCCTTAATACACTTTAAAGGCAGTTACAGAGTAGGTGAGGTTAAATAAAAAAAAAAAAAACACACAAGTCCATCAAGTTCAACCTATATATTGTGTGTGTGTGTGTGTGTGTGTGTGTGTGTGTGTGTGTGTGTGTGAGTGTGTGTGTGTGTGTATACTGCTAGCAATTCCCATAACCCTGTATATTGTTTAAGTTGAGGAACCCATCCAAGTGTTCTTTGAAGCTTTGGATGTTTTCTGCAGATACAACTATTTGTGGGAGGGAATTCCACCATTTACACAGTAAAAACCCCATGCACAGTTTACGATTGTACCGTATTCCTTCCAATTTCTTGCTGTATCCTTGCGTCTTCCCCAGAGTTCTTGGTTTAAGTCGTGTGTTCCCAATACTAATGTCACCTCTTAAGCGCCTCTTCTCTAAGGAGAATACATTTTATTTTTGTAGTCGCTCTTGATAACTCAAACCCTCCATCCCCCTTATTAATTTAGTTGCCCTTCTTTAAACGGTCTCTAGCTCATGGACATCCCGCTTAAGGGAAGGTGACAAAAATTGAACCACATACTCCAGTTGTGACTGTACCAATGTTTTATAAAGTGGTAGAATTATATATTTCTATCCCTTGAATAGATCCCTCTTAATACAAGTTAGTATTCAACTTGCTTTGTTGGCCGCAGCTTGGCATTGCATGCTGTTGCCGAGTCTGGTCTACAAGTACCCCTAGATCCTTCTCCAGCTCTTATTTCCCCAGTGGAACTCCCCCCAGAATGTATTCTGCATGCATGTCCTTGGCTCCCAAGTGCAAGACATTACATTTGACTACATTAAAACCCATTTGCCACGTTGCTGCCCACTCTAGTACTTTATCGAGGTCTTTCTGCAGTTATACTATGTCCTGTATTGCCCTACATAACTTGGTATCAATCAGCAAACACTGACAGCTGTTATGACTTAATATGCCAAGCATAAACATGCTTGAAAAGAAGCAAGAGGCTGTACTTAGCCTCTTCCCACGAACAGAACCAACTGCAGTTAGTCACAACACTAGAGGAGGAAGCTGGCACTGATGGCTTTATTATTTCAAAAAACACACACCGGACACATAAAAGGCACTAAAGACCATCTGCAGAGACTGAAGTGGTGGGTTAGGCTGCGTACTTTGTACCTTTTATGTGTTTTCTCTTGCTTGTTTTTCTGGAATAAAATACTTACTGGATATTGGACAGGTGGCATGCTTATCTAGGCTCCGGAAATCACATTACAGGAGTGAGAGCATGGTGATCTATATTCAGCTTCAACATATGGTTAACTGAAATGGTTTCTGATAAGACATATCTTTTCCTCATTGATTGATAAGAACTTTAGTTATAGTATTAATATCTTATCTCTTGGACACCTGCAGCCTATACTCGCAACCATCATGACACAATACATCATTTTGAATGGCAGATTTGATGGGCTGCTATGCTCTACGCACATTATTAGTGTTATATAGTGTTCCACCCCCAATTGGTTCTGAGGAAGGAGGCTTGACCTCTGAAACGCGTAAACCACTTAATTATCAGGGAAGACGAACAGCCGGTGGATATGCACCTTTCGTTCTGACCCTTTTATGCCTGTTTTTATTTGTCCTTTGTGAGTATCTTTATACCATTTTTTATTCGTTTATTGAAAAGTTTTTATGCGATGGAGGCGCTCTCTGGGCCTATCTGCAATATAGCTGGGACTGTAGGAAGTAATATTTTGCCACACACAGCTAACTTCCTGTCTATTTGTACAAGTGTAGAGAACTGTAGCTCTGCCACTCCCTGGATAAGGTTTATTGACAACATATAGATATATACTGCATCTAGCTTCTCTGAAACAAGTTGGTTACCTGGGTACCATCTTGAAGAACATCCGCCCCTGAGCTCCCAATACATATCACAATGTCTGTAGCTCGGAAACGGAAATCTGGGTGATCAGCGAGGTCATATACGCTGACATCCTCTTCTTCTCCAAGAACCTATAATACACAAAGGTTAATTCTTATTAAACTGAGATACAGGCAAACCACTAAATACACAGCCAAAATACATATATGGGAGTTGTCATACTCGCCTAAAGATATGCAATTCTGTTCAGCTAGTCTTACGTTATAAGTATTCTTGTCACGTGCATAGAAATAAAGCAATACAACCAGATCTAGGACCTGCTCTCAGCCATGACCATTCAAACTGCACTGACCACTCTCACTCACCTCAACATCATTTCCTTCATAATTTAGTTTGATCCATTTCACCACACACGTACGCCCTGTATGGTCTCCAGACTGGACAACACCATACACACTGGAATCTTGCAGAGTGTGAGCTGTTTCATAATAAAGAAATACAGAAAAAGTGAAGAGGTAAACAGTTGATAGAATTATTTTAAGAAATACTCCTATTTTTTTTTTCCACAAACCTCTTTTATCCACCACAAAATCTCCTGGACAAAACTCATTATTATCCAAATGCTGGATGGGGAGCAGTTCATTGGACCTTATGTTAGTTTCTACAGTGCCATCCTGCCACATCACATCTGCTGAGGTCACAGTTGTGATCACTTCAACGGCCACTCTAAAAAGAGAATAGGAGATATGAAACATCAGCCATACAAGTATCACTGTGTGCAGCTTCAGTAACAAAGGCTAAAAAAAGACTGCGAATATTTTATATTTGTTGTATTGATCTCAGACATGGGGCTAATAAAATCTAATTACAGCATTCTTCCGGCTTGGAAGCTTGAGCTGTACCCAACACACCTGCAATGCGTGTCTCTACAGGTCGGAGAAGAATGAAGGATAAGGGGTGTGCTAGAGATCAGGCTCAAAGATGGAAGCTGTCACTGCCTACTGGAGTTCTTGAGGATGCAATTAAGCAAATACAAGCACATCTAGGTGTCCGTTTTTAGATTCTTACATCACTTAAGTGACAGACCTGCTTTAAAAGGAGAACTATGGGGTTAAGGCTTTTCCCCATAGTTCTCCTAAGGGTAACAGGAGGACACAAAGTAGCGTCCTCCAGTCACCCAAAGCTCAGTATACCGCGAGCTACAGCTCGCGGTATACTGAGACGCTGCAGCCGGAACGGATCCCGACAATTATGTCTGGATCCACCCAGCTGCGTGAGTGACAGCCTATCTAGAGGCAGAGCCAGCTTTACCCGCCCCCTCCCCCATCCGTTCCGCCAGTCAGCGCTGGAGGATCGGACAGGTGAGGGGGAATCCAGTCCCTCCCGTCACGGCTCTCTGCCGGCACAGGACCGAGAAGTGAGCGAGCGGCGGTATGTGTCCTCTCACTTCCCGATCTACTGAGCCGACCTGTGACAGTTTCATTGTCACAGGTCGGCTCAGATTATGAGGCTGAGTGAGAATCACTAACCTCATAGTTCTCCTTTAAGTGAATCTGTGTTTTAATCATGCAAGACATGATATTCACAGATGCATATACTTATCCTACCTTCACTACCCACAGCTCAATTCAGCCATGGAGAGTGAAAGGAAAAGTCCTGTGTAAGTTATGAGACATAGCTTATATAGCGCTATATGGACCTCCATGTGACTATGTTGTCATATGGCTGAGTCTGCCGTTCCATCTTACCCAGAAGTCCTGGAGGAATACAAGGTGAGACGACTTCTTCTAAGTAAAAACAGTTGGAGGGAATTATTATTTTAAAAAATTGTTTTGTATAACTGTACATCAACTATACTCCACAAAAGCATTAGAGTAGCCATACCGGAAGACTAGATAAAATATTTGGGGTTCCCCCACTTACAAACCTGTCCCCTGGTTTGAACTCTCTGTACACCTTGCTCTTTTTCTTCTTTTTGTGCTTCCTCTTTAAGTTTCGTATAGACAGAGGAATGCTCTTCTTACGACCAGCCCCACTGCCGCTTTTCGAGGAGGTGGTCGAGCTGGCAGAAGACGTCACAGAGCTGGTGTCATCGGTGTCTTCAGCAGCTTCGTCATCGGCATCCTGTTCATTAGCCTGAAGTGGGAAGTCCTGGAACATCTCCCGGATGTTTCCCAGCAGTTGGTCCTGGGCAGAACACTCCTCAGAGTGTAGATCTTTTGGTAGTTCTTTTCCATTGGTGGCCTCATTTTGTTTAATGCCTTTCTCAGCCAGTTCAGATGCTGGAGGGTTAGAGTGTCTCTTCAGTAGGTCCGCTGGGTTTGAGGACTCTTGTGTACATGAGATGATTTTCACGATTTGCTTCTCCCGCAACTTGTCTCCTTGCTGAAAAGAAAACCACAGGCATGACTTGGAAAGCCAAACTATCAGCAGATAAAGAAAAGCTTTTCCTTTATATTGTTTACCTTACAATAAATTGTAACTTTTTTTTTTTAGTTTTCGATAGAGCGGGTAAGGATTAGAACTCCTGTCAGGGGGAATGATTTTCCCTCACTTCCTGTTCAAGGGACAACCTCTTAATCTGCTCACTTACAAAAGGGAAACTAACAATATAAGAAGCCAGCATTGGCTCTAGGATTCCCATTCTTAATGTAAAAAATACCCCAAACCTTTTTCTACAGTCTGTGTTGGAGAGATTACTTCACTTTGTCTGATGAAAAGGTTGTCCCTGGAACAGAAACGGGAAATCTCTCTAAAAAAGGAGCCCCATACAGCAGTCAAATCTGGCAGAGGTTCTAATACTTCCACACTCCATCTAAAAACACAAAAAAAAGGGCTATAGATAAGCTTCAAAGGATAAATGTGCTTTCCAAAACACACTGGCTCCTAAATATCTTATTTATCTAGCACGCAATGTTAAAAAGTATACCCGTTCCTCAGTATTTTCTTTTCCTGTGCTTTGGAAGTTATTATGACAGGCCCAGGCCAGTGTACACATGATGATACATTTTACGAGTAGAAGATCTGAGAGCCTTAAAAAGGAGAACTATGAGATGAGTGATTTCCACTCACCTCATAGTTCTCCTTTAAAGAAATGTTATAGTCAAAAGGGATTTTAAGCTATTTTAAAAGCTGATGAAATCACTCACAATGGATGCTGCTCCTTGATGTTTAAAAGTTGTGGTTTCTTGCAAAGTCAGCTGGTCCTCTGAGCACTGGTCCTGATTTCCTCTCTCAAGGTATGCAGTTTTGTGTGCTAGTAAGCTGTGCGTGTCTCCACAAACAACAATTCAAGCTACTTTTCTTCCCCCAGGCCCACTTTCCCCCCTCCTCCAAGCTAGTAGATGAACAGTTGTTGAAGTCTGCAATTTCCTTTGTGATCGTGTACTGGCTGAGAGACTTGGAAGCAGCTATTTAGAAACATTCTGATTTTAAGTGTTTGGGCAAAAATGTAAAGCAAAACGTTGGAGAAAAGTATATTTGTTTTATCTGGGTTCATTTTTGAAAAAACGTTTAAGAGTTTAACACACAGTCAGAACAACAGAATTGGAAATTCCTTTGTTTTTTAACACCTGGGTTTCAACAGCCAGGCTGGTAATGCCAGTGACCGAGAAACAAAGTGGAAGCTTGGTCCCTGAGACAAGAGATCTGGCAGAGTCCAGGGATCGTCTGCCAATACAGAAGGTCAGAATGCCACACCCTGCGAGGCCAATCTGAAGCGATGGAATTTCTGGAACACCTTTGTGTTCTATCCAGACAAGGGAACAGCATCAATGGAGCGTCAATACATCAGGGTGTACCAATCCCAAGGCATCTACTGTTGGATACCTCACTCTGGATACAAAGCTGTCCACCTTCTTGTTGTAGCGAGATGCTAGAAGATCCACATCTGGTATCCCCCAGCATTGACAAATTTGTTGCAACACCTCCAGATTAAAGAAACCATTTGACTGGATCCAGGAGTTGTCTGCTGAGAAAGTCCGGCTGCCAGTTCTCTACCTAAGGTATGTGCAACATTAAAATTCTTTGGAACATGAAGTTCCACCAAAGTCAAGCTTGAATGTACTTGCGCCTCCATGATGTTTGATGTAGTCCAATGTCATGGAACTGTCGGACTAGATTTGAAAACAGGACACTCAGACAGGAGAGGGGTTCAATGAAACAACGCCAGAGGAACTGCCCTCTTGGACATTGATCAGAAGTGTGGATTCCTCTGGAGACCAACAACAATGCACAGACAAATGATCCGAGACACCGGCCCATACCACAAGACTGGCATACTTTGTGAATCTTCCAAATTATGGGAAGAAATTACATTCCTGTTGTCAATACAGGGAATGTCAACCACCATGACAGAGACATCCTGTCCTGCCAATCTGATCGTCCTGTCCAGGGATAATGACTTGTCCTATGTTGTAAGAATATTCCTCTAAAAAATTCCTGGAAGGGAATTGAGTAAAAAGGTACCGCTTCGAAGGTGGACACCAATAAACCCCGAGCTCTCAAGCAGGTTCTCAGGGAGGACCGACGACAGGATCAAAGCAAAAGAACTTGATTCCGCAACTTTAGCAAAACTAAAAGGCAGCCATCCACTGCCTGATACTCCTATGCCACCAGTAAAGACTCCAGAGGTGGCCCACGCGTCCATCAGTGTGCACAAGAAAAATAACTGCATCATCAGTTTCTAAGTCCCAGCCTCTTATAAAAGTGACAGGATAATTAAATAAAAAATAGACTCCACACTAAATTTATAAAAGCCATAGAGGAGTCAATACACATTAAAAACAAACATACAGCCAATCGCGGCTGTCCAGTAAGCGGCGACTTCCATCATATTTGGTGGTCCTGTCCGATATCTCAAAGATTTTGGACCCAAGTCTGCTTCAGATCCTCTTTCAAAGACAGCTTCCACTGTCTTTCCAAGCATCAGGTTACCCCAATGACTGCGAAACAGGTAATAGCTGAGGCTTGGATTTCCGTTTAGCATATCAGCAGTGAAGTGAAAAAATCCACTGGGTCATGATAAACGAGAAATTGACGGCCAAACTCCAGGGCACCATGTCCAATTTACGCAAGGTCCAGGATCCGTGGGTTTCAAACTTTCTGCCATCTGATTTCGACAACACATTATTGGATTTCTGATCATTGTGGAGACTCTGCACTTAAAACGCAAGTCTCTGAGATCCCATAGCCATTTCCTTATCCCTCTTCCTTTCCGGATCTGATCCTTTTCCAAAAAATGTCTTCCCTTCTCTCTCCCCTCCATCTTGCTTTGCATGTAGAAAGGTCATGTTTGGGTTGCGGTTTTCAAGCTACTTGTCAAATGTTTGTTGTACTTGGAACCAGTGGCGTAACATCGCCACAGGGGGGCCCTCTGATGCCGTGTGGGCTGCCTGGGTCGCTATGGCATGTAAGGGTGCTGTCTGTCACTGGCGTTTCCCCTCACAGCCGCTGTGGAGTTGTGTCAGTGACAGCCAGCAGCTACGGCAGAAGAGGCCAGCGTTCGCAGTGAAGGAGGAAGGGCCCGCCTAAGAGCAACCCCGCCTCCTCTTACATCCCTGGCCAGCGACCTAAGAGCAGGTGGGGCCGGTGATGTAAGAGGAGGCGGGGCCCGTCGATAGAAGAGGGGGCGGGGCACGGGGACGGAAGAGGAGGCGGAGCCCGGCGACCACAGAGGCGGACAGCGCTGACAGGTAAGAGGTGTGCAGCCCATCCGAGACCCTGCAGAGCCCACTATAGAGAGTCTATGGTGGGCTCTGCATGGTCACTCTCAGGAGGGCTGTTTGGTATATGCAAGTGGCATAACTAGCAATCACGGGGCCCCATACAAAATTTTGCTATGGGGCCCTGTGATTTCTAGTTACGCCCCTGCTTGGAACCCTTTAGTTCGCCAATTGGTTAAGTGAAACTTTTTACTTCTTACCACTCGTTGTGTATTAGTCTTAATTTTCTTGACTATCTTGTCATGTATTATAATTTCGTTAATAAAAAGTTATTAAAAACACAAAACATACAGCCAAAATATAATAAACCCATCATACTGTATTCACGTTCCCATCAACGTCCTTAAAATGGCAGACTTTTCATTTATTTGGCCTAGTGTCCATTTCTCCTGGAGATAGCAGCATAACCTATGTCCCTGTGTCCCTCAATGGACAATCAACAAAAAAACAATTTAAAACCTTGAAAAAATATCAAATTGATATAAACCCAGTTTTAAGAAAAGAAAAATGGGGGATTTATCAACACTGGAGCAGTTGCCCATGGCTAATTGAAGAGGACTTCGACATAGTGGGTATAGCGGAAACCTGGCTGGACAGCACGCATGACTGGGCTACTAATATAGAGGGGTATAACCTGTTTAGGAGGGACAGAATCTTAAGTTTGTTCAGTTAAGATCTGAAAATGAAACAGAGACTCTGATTGGTTGCCATGCACAGCTGCTTCAGATTCTGTCTGCTCCAGTTTTGATAAATTCCCCTCAATGTGTTTTATCTATATGTGTTCAGTTATGTTCAGTTATCCTTTAAGGAGGAGTTTACAATTACTTTTCGCCAATGCACATATTTGTTAGTCACTTTAAAGTGAACCCGTGCTGCAGAAAGAGACGGGTCCATGTTACGGTCATCCCCTGCAGCAGATAATATACTAACCTTCCCTTCACTCTATGGCCATCGGGAGAAAGAGATATGCCTGGTACTTTGAGGAATAGAGAACATGTGATAAACATACCTTCTCCCAAGAGACAGTGCTGGTGGTAGGCAACTAGCTGCTCAGTCACCAGCACTGTCAGGTTAGGGTGTGAGAGTGTCATTAGACATCATTAGGATGAGCTGTTCATCCACCACCATGGAAACATATAAACACTATCAAAAAGTCACAGTTACAGAGAATCAATATGAGTACCTGTATTCTACAAGTGTTCTTTCCAATAGGGGTGGTGACTAGGATCAGAGAGTTGCTGAGAAAGATTAAACAAATATATTGCTCCCTATTGGGGATATTCACCCTGCTTGCTACAGTGACCACTCTTACCAATGCAAAAAGTGAATTGAAATCCAAAATATTTACAGTTGTCACCAACACAGGAGTAGAGAGTAGGTCCAGGGGTGCCTGTCAATGCGGGGATTTCTACTCACATCTTGTTGCGTCATTGAAAGGCAATTTCTCCAGTGAAGTGAGGACACTGACTGCCGTAAAACCTGGAAGGTTTCTAACTACCCCTTCAAGTCATAAAAAAAAAAGTTTTTAGCTGAGAATTTAGCCAGTCATGGAGTACCTTTCTGGTGCCGGCTATGTCTCCAAGTATGCAGTTCTTCTCCAGGCTCTCGCACAAGATTCTAGTGGGCTCCACCATGGTTGGGAAGATGTACAAGCACCTCTCTCCTAGCTGCCTCTGGGTGTGATCAAACGAGCCAAGCCTCTTCACTCTAAGACAATAGAACAGTATAGCATTACTCAGCATAGGAATCACAGTTAACATGACTGCTCTGGCATATATACATCACACTTAATACAGATGTTGTATATTACTCAGTGGATGGAACTTTGGTCAGCTCAGTACAGTTAGGTCAGCCATACATGTCTAGAGCTCGCGTTTAGCCCTCTAAAATCTAAAAAGTGTATGGCCAGATTCAGCATGCCTTGTTCTGCACAGACACACAGTGTAGAGGCGGCCATCTTGGTAGAGGCAGAGCTTTTGCTTCACCTCAGAGCCTATAGGAAGAACACCACTGAGCAGTACTGTAGGGACATCACCACATACCACTCCTGAGACCAGCAGTCACACACAGCAGTGCCTTGGCTCTCTCACTGTAGATATACAGCTATGAGGCTAAAGGCACAGGAGTGTCTAGGCACAGTCATATACCAGGAAAAGCTTTTTTTTTATTATTTTAGAAGGAATTTAAAGACAAAACAAATTTTTCAGGGCACTTCTTAGACACAATTAAAATTTTTAAACATTAGCTATGACATAGTAAATCTTCACTTTGAGTTCAGGTCCACAGGTAATTCAGGTAATAAAATGATATAAAATAATCATAATAATTACAGCACACTAAAAAATGGAAGCAGCCACACGTAAAAAAAAAAAAGTTATCTGAACATTGAGAGCAGCCATTCAGCTGCAGTCAGTGCTTGGGTATTCCGAGAGCCGCAGGTAACGTAACTGTCACAAAAAAATAGCCAGCAAGCGAGATTACTCCATCCATGTTATTTAGTGTGGATGGGGGAACCGAGTGACAGAGTTGGGCTGAACGAGAGAAATCTTTGCCTGTATGGCCAGCTTTAAATCCATGGAGCAGGTTGGCCAAGATACCTGCATTGCAAGAAGGAAACTATAGCAAGTGAAAAGCTTTACCCTGTAATAAATAACTGATGCACTGCTTTATAAAATAAAGGTATGTTTGGCAGAGAGATGCCAGAAGAAGTAGAAGGGCTCTCATATTTCTCAGTTGCATTTTACAAGATTTGACGTTAAAGCAATTAGAAGACCGGAAAACACCAGAAAAATGCAGGAGATGCAATGAGAACGCAGAAAAAGTGAGAGACTATCTGGAAAAAAGAATTATACGCAGACCTACTGCAAAGAGATGCACACTGCAGCATGAAAACGTACAGGGCCCGATTTTCCATAAGCCCAGGGCCGGTGCTGCCAAAAGGCAAACTAGGCAGCCGCCTAGGGCGCACAGCTACCTAGGGTGCAGCCTTGACCACTCCCCCCACGGCGCCCCCCATCTATTTCAAATTGCAAAACCCAATAGCAGGCCAGCTATAACACCTGCCCACTGAGCAGAGGAGCGTAACCGAGAGACAACTTTCTCTCTCAGGTCCGCTCCTCTGCTCAGTGGGAGGAGTTTCAATAGCACGTCTGCTATGGGCTATTTCAAATTAAATTACATCCACCTGTTGCCTGCAGAAGCTAACCCACAGGAGAATGGGGCTGTGCAGGGGGGGGATGCAAGTAGCTGGTCTTGCCTAGGGCGCAAAATAGTCTAGCACTGGCCCTGCATAAGCCAACCAAGGTACGAGAGCCAAGGGCCCGATGGATTTCCACCAGGCCCAGCTACAACCTTCATGCTCCTGCAGTAAACCAGGGGTATAGCGCAACTGATAAAAGCTGTGCACCTGCATGTCAGGCAAGATGCACTTGTAGGCAGTTGGCGTCTGAGGTGGTGCTCAATGCTGATGCAGACAATGCAAAAGGGGCAGCTTCTCTGTACGCTCTGTGGCCCTGTACTCCAATTGCAATCTTTATCAAGGCCAAACAAAGGGACTGGGGGGGGAAAGGGGCAAAGCTGCTACTTTGTGTAAGGCCCTATTCTGACTTAAACCATCTCTGAAAATATGTGACTGCAGCTGCGAGGAACCATCAAAGGGACCATTACAAATCTGAAGAGAAGAAAATGATCCCACTAGTTCTGAAATTTCCATAAACTTGAAGCATACTCACTTGTGCAAGTTCTCCAGGGTTATAACAGAGGAGGGTGGGTCCATAGAGTCTGCACCCCCCAAACAAAAGCTTTTCGTTATCCACGTTACTTTCAGCTGTGTCACCTGTACCTAAATAGATTAAAGGATACAGTGAAGAGACATAACTATGGTGAATAAGAATGCACCACAATACACATACACAGGAAGCAATGTAATGCACAGTCAACAGCAGAGGCAAGTGTTCTATATGCAGGCTGAAAGAATAAATGCACTTTCAGACAAAGTGCACTTATTATTTGCCCCCCTCACCTGACCTAACAGATGTCACCCTCCTCCTCCACTGACACATACTTATCAAGATCCGGCACCCAGTGTTCTCATCGTGCAACTAAGTCCTGTAGACTTCTATGGGGTTTGTCTATCTACTTCTCCAGAGAGAAGCAGGAAGACAAGTCCCATTGACTTCTATGGGGCTCTTCATGCCCAGCAGAAAGAGGACTCCGGTGTGGGATGTATGAAAAAAAAAAAACAAGACAGGATGCTTGATCTCTGTAAGTGTGCATCTGTGGAGGGGAATGTTGGGATCTGGTAGGACAGGTGACGGGCCAACAAGAATAAGTGCACTTTGTCTGACATTGTTCTTATTCCTGAAAGGAAACATTGTTCTAGCACTCACCTCTTCAACACCCACACGGAATTTGCTCTTGGCACTCAGGACTGGCTTTACTCCAGACAGCCACTGGACATTAGAAAAGACTTTGGAGGGGCCAATAAGCACTTGGCCAGGATAGAACCCATAAGCGTCATCAAAGAACAGACCCTAAAACAACATATGATTTAAAAGAACTTTAAAAAGTGGAAACAAGACATCCAAGTAAATTTAAACCTTAAATAGATGACATTATATTTGCTACAGTACTTTGTATTAAACATCCCAAATGTTTCTTATTAATCCTTTTATCATCTCAGTGCTCCTGATCTCCTCAAGCCCTTTTCAGCCTCTTCCTGTCTACAGGCCCTCGCTCCAGCATCACATTATTGCTCTGGTCAGGCTTCCTCATAATGACAACCATGGACCATGCCTGCACCGTGAGTATCGGCATGGCTGCTTGTAGTCTGCACTAGAGTTGAATATGACAGAGTGACAAAGCAGCAACACAATTGGGAGAGTTTTCGCTCTATGACAGGAAGTGACTGAAGAAACCTTTCAAATGGTAGGATCACCAGTTATTAGATGTTAAAAAAGAACACTGAGCAAAAAAATTCTTAACCCTTGCAGTGGGGCTACCCCCCTTGCGCTGCAACAGTTAAGTGCTCGTTTTCAACTAGGGACAAAAATAAAGATATACTTACTCAAACCTCATAGCCGACCATAGACTGGTCCTTGTAGCCTGGCTCCCCCTCCGCTGCAGCAGTCCAGAGTCCCGTGATTGATAACGCCCTATATAGTGTATAGGATGCGAGGACACCGAGAGACATCCCATTGCTGGAGTGGAGGAAGAGACAGGTTGCAGGGAACGGTCTGAGCACCTTTTTTTTATCTTTGCGGGGGTAGCTCCACTGCAAGAGTAAAGAATATTTCCGCCCGGAGTTCTTTAATGAAAGCTGCAGAATTCATACAAATTTTAAAAGCTTTAAATTAACATGTTACAACCTATGATAAATCAGTGCTGGGG